GTGATTTTCTTTTTGATCCACCGAGCACGGTAATTACCAATGATTGCTTTATGAACTTTTCAAATACTACTCTAGAGAAAAACATCGATGCAAGGCTTGAGGTTCTTATCCAGAAATAACAAAATGTTCAAGTTATGATAAGATAGCAACACTGGTTAATTTTTTTTTGGGGGGGGGGTTCGCTCAAAGTGTGCGAAATCGAAAAAAGATACCACGTGATTGCCGCCTACCGCGTGGCGCTTTGAGTGCCTTCAAATGTAAGTAATGAATTAGCGAAGGCTTCTCAAGCACGAAGGTCGCTGCAACATGGTATTGGTGACCACGATAGAAATTAAGGGATGATTAGATGGTACCATTAAGGGAAAAAAGGTGGGAGGGGGGTGGGCGAAAGAAAGAAACGAAGGCAATAAACTTCGACGAGGAAGTGGCTGCCATGGGCATTGCGCTACGGGATCAGAGGCAGCATTCGGCGCTGCGCAGACGTTCTTTTTTTTTTGAGCCAAATATAAACATGATGGGAGGGGAGAGAGGGTGACGTTTTGTTAAAGAAGGATATGAAAACGTCAGAGGTACTTATTCCAGTTTTTTGTTGTCGTATCTGCATCGATTACGTGCGATTGCTCAACTGAATACTTGCAAGTAATGCGGCATGATTGGCTGTGGGCTTCACAGTTTACTTGCTCGTACTTTGTTCCATTTAGAAATACATGTTTAGTACCCGTCTGCTAGAGCACAGTGCGTATAAATAAACAGAACGAATAAAAAAGTGTTATGTGCTCTTATAGCTAACTATTTCATAGTAGGAAATCAAGGCGTTGGAAAGAGTAATTGCAATTTCCAAACAGATTTTATGAGGCGTCATGGGCAGCTACATAGCGTGCTTGGACAGCCCTCCATCAGCCCCTATACAAAATCTACATTGAGTCGGCGCATTTTCTGTCGCGTTTTGTAGCATTCGTGGAGTAATGAAGCAGCACACGTCTGCTATTTTATACTTCAGTCTTGCGGGCGTTGCCGTCACTTCGGTTTAGACGTGGTGTTTAATATATCCCCAGAGAAATAATTCTAGTGGAGTCAAATCTGGGGTTCTTGCGGGTCACTCTACAGGTCCAAGATGCCCGATTCATTTCTCGGGAAATTCTCGATCAAGCCACGTTCGAGTCCACGCGGAGATGTGCGGAGGAGCTCCGTCTTGCTGGAACCAGATATTCTGAAGCTGTGCTATAGGGAGCTTGTAGGTGCAGTCACTCAGTGGGCCATTTAATATTTCGCTGATGTAGCATTCTGCGCTGAGTGTTCCATCGAAAAAGAGCGGGTCAATAATTTGCCGCCGTAAATGCCGCACCAACTACTGAAAGACACTGCACCTGGTGTTGTGACTGCAACAGCCAGTGAGCATTTGTAGCGCTCCAGTAATGACCATTGTAAACATTGACTTGGGCATTGCGCGAGAAGCGAGCTTCATCGGACCAGATTTTGTTCTTCATGAAGCCTGCATTACCTTCTTCCTGTATGAGTATCCAGTTGCAGAAGTGAAGACGGCTTTGCAAACTTCTGTCTTGCAGTTGTTGATGCAGGTGAACATGGTGTGGGTGAAGTCCTCTGCTCTTGAGTACGCGCCAAACACTACTGCTGGAAACGCCGGTTTCAGTGCTCTAGTAATGTTGTGGGCCCGTGTGCTCAGATTTTGGTGAACGTTCAAGAACCCAAGGTCGTTAAATTTTCGGAGCTTTCCACTACGGCGTCTCTCATAATCATATGGTGGTTTTGGGACGTTAAACCCCACAAATCAATCAATCAATAGTTTCAGTGCTCACGTCACGCATGCTTGCGCGGGGGTGGGCTGCCATGTAAGCAATAATCTCTGTTTTAAGTGACTCAGTCACATCTTTTGTGCGCTGATACTGCTTTTCGAACGTGCCTGTCTCCTTAAGCATTTAGTTATTTTATACCTATTCCGAACTATTTACCAGAACTTCTGGGTGCCATCTGCGAAATAATCTTGCCGCCTCTCTCTTGTTTTCATTCACTCGGCTGAGGGCGAGAACCATACTCGCACGTTCTTCATTAGTGCAACGCATCGTTCCAGACGATGACTTTCCCTTGTCGAAGCGTGTCCAAAAGAACTGCGCAGCTTATATTGCCATCGTACATTTGATATTCTTCCTTTATCAAAGTGTCACTGTCTCACCCACCATTATGTTTATCGTCAGCCTGAAAAGAAAAAAAAAGAACAAAAACGTCTGAGTTGCGCCGATGGCTGCCTCCGGTCTCGTATCGCAATGCACGTGGCAGCTGCTTTTCCATCGAAATTTATTCCCTTCACTTCTTTCTTTCGCCCTCCCCCTTTATTTATAGGTACCATTTAACCGTCGCCTAATGCCCATCGTATACCCCCCATAGCATGTTCAAGCGACCTTCCTATGTGAGAAGTCTTCGCTAATTCATTCAACTTACATTTGAGTGCACACAAGGCACCGCACGTTAGGCGGCAATCACGTGGTATTTTTGTATTTCGCGCACTTAAAAAAAACCTGAAAAAATCAACCAGCGTTGTTATCTTACCGTAACTTAAAATTTTTGTTACTTCTGGATAACAGCTACAAATTTTGTATTGAGAATTTTTGTCTGAAGTCTGCACCTAAAAAGTTCAATAAGTGATGTTTGTTCAAAAAAAATATTTTGACATGATACATACAGCTAAGAACAATACTGCGCTAGCCGGAGACACGCAGCACTCATTTTAAATTTTTTTTTATCACTTGGTGCTTTTTAACTGAAACGCCCAGTATTTCAATGTATATATCAATGTGCAATATACATTCAGCTACTTATGTGAAGAGGCGTTTCACCTTCGCGTGCTATACCAAATCCTATATCAGAGACATCAATCACAATTTCAGGGCCGATTCTTTTTATGGCCGAGGCTTGCCCGTCGGCGTTGTGCGCCGTAGCTCCCGCAAATGATGATGATGATGATGAATAAAGAACAAGAGCGTTCCGGACCACACTGTTTTTGCGCCATCACGCCACAGCTTAAGCAGGGTACCAACTGACATGACGATGGCACTGCTGATGATAAAGAGGATTACGATGAAGATCACGGACGACGGCCCCATGCCTTGTGCAGCCCCGCCGCGGTGGTTTAGTGGCTAAGGTACTCGACTGCTGACCTGCAGGTCGCGGGATCGAATCCCGGCTGCGGCGGCTGCGTTTCCGATGGAGGCGGAAACGTTGTAGGCCCGTGTGCTCAGATTTGGGTGCACGTTAAAGAATCCCAGGTGGTCAAAATTTCCGGAGCCCTCCACTACGGCGTCTCTCATAATCATATGGTGGTTTTGGGACGTTAAACCCCACATATCAATAAATCATGCCTTGTGCAGGATATGTCATCACTAAATGCTTTAAGATACATTTCGTGTCACTGGAAACAACCAACAACTACTAGGAAAACAAGCATGAACCTCGTCTTTGTCAACTGCAGGCGAGATTTGCTACCACAAAGTAGTAATATTCAAGACAAAATGAAATTCACAACTCACCGTTCATAAGAAATAAACGTTGTACATAACTATACACCACTTTGTTGCTCCATTACATGCGTGAATGTTCAATGCTACGGTTGATTTAGGTAACACGGAGTGATACCATTGCTTCAACCATTAACATATTTTAATTCGGGGATGCGTTGTTACAATTTTCATTTAATTTATTTTTGCCTTTAGCTGTTGGGTTTTTACACACCTCAATGACGGGTCACATTGGGCGCTTTATTACGTATTTATATTTAAGCCACCTACCTACAATACTGCCCTTGCGGGTTTTGTGGGTATAAAAAAATAAATAAATAAACACATAAATTACTAATACATTGCGTTCAACTCGTGAAGGTGAAGCTCAACTGTCGTATAAATTTTTTGTGTGAAAAAAGAAAATGAGGGCACGTAATATTCAAAAAGTATTTCAGCCTTACATAACTACTCTTTGATTCAAAATCTTTATTATAATTGGGAACGGAATTTCCCTTTTTATTTTGTTTTTTGAAAATAAGCTATTAAAAACTTTCTGCTTTATTAATGTTTTTTGCTTTCGCTAGAGGAAAAAAGTATTTTGCAGGAATGCTGCAAAGGTTTGTTTCTACATTCTGAACTTTCTCTTCTTTCAAAAGTACTTTTGAGATAGAAAACCCGACCAGGCGCATCACACACTTTTTTATTTGTACTGTTTTTGTAATTTCTTTAAAGTTTTTTTTTTCCTTTTTTGCGCATAATCAGCAAGAAACATCGACTCAGCATTTAGTGTTCGCGTTAAGTTAGGCCGTGTATTCGGCGAATATTCCGGTAAGCAGTAACGGAAGGCCCGTGGCTGCACCTGCCGAATTTTCGTTGTTTGCTGAAATCAAATTTTCAGTATCATCAAATTGACAGACAGAGGAAGGAGTGGTCTCACTGATTGTGTCCAAGTGAAAAAGAAGGAACATTTTACCGATATCGCGTTAATACTCTCACTTCATTTAGGCGGTATGGTGACCAAACTTCGGAAAATAATATCTATTTATTAATTTATTTATTAGGTCTAAGAAACTCCAAATAAAGAGATAACGTGACATGTGGTCACCGTGCCAGTGGTGCGACCGATGATTATACGACAAGGACGAGTCAGAACAACTAATTGCAGACAGAAAGCGTGCGATATCACCGACGAAAGCGGCTTGTTCTTGAAGTCCATTCCAGCATAAGGCTGTATAAAGAACAAGTGCCTGTTGTGACAGAGTGGTACAGGCTAGTGGTGGGATGAAAGCATTTAAATGTCACCTTTGATGGGCACGATGCGGTGGCTTGCTGACATAACTATTGCATGTCTTTAAAAGATAAAAAAAAGCGGGACACAGAATCCCTGTCTTGCCTGGTCTGTTGTGTTTTTCTGCTTGGTTTGTCTCATACCGAGAATTTAAAAGTGCATTTCTTCATGTTCTAGCTTTTCTTTATTTTTCTTTGCAGACTTCTTCACATTGCTAAATCCTGTCTACCCTTTGTTGGGAGAAGCAGAAAAGGCCGAACTGAAAACGTTCACGATCGACTTTCTCACTAAGCACAAAGGCAGCGGGGACCCTTATAAAGAACAGACCATGCTTGTCATTCACGCGTGTAAGTCTGTTAGCTAAAAAAATAACTCTACAGACAATAAAATACCAATATAATATTGAAGTTTTTGGCATGACCCTTTCTGATTTTTTTTGTCAAATCGTATTTGACTTTATCAGTAAAGTGAGTTTGCGTTGTGCCAATTACTTATCTCCCTTTTGAGCGCATGAAATAGATGCATTGGGTTGAAACGGCCTTGACCTCTATGGGGTGAAGTGTTCTGTAGCATTAGCGATGTGTCATTTAACTTTCTCCCTAATTGCGCACTGGTGTCGTGGCTGTGAATAAAGCTCGGGGCATTGTCGTATCACTTAGTATGTAACTGGCATTCTGTTATCGCAACGCAAAATAACCGCAGGATAATTCATGTACTCTCGCATTATGATTGCATCGTCTTTCCTCACCAGGTACTTTACTGTGAACGTTATCAGACAACAAAGCGGCGTTTTCATGTCAATCACATCAACTCATGACACGGCATCTTTCATATTGCTGTTGAAGACGATGTCAAAGTGTGTCAAAATTTGTGACGCCCCAATCACTCTACATGGTGATGTCATACGACAATGAGGTTCTATTACTTTTGGCAAGCCGTAGGTGCTCATTCATTCACTTATTTAGTATCATGAAACATTTGACGAAATTTTATTCAGTTTTCTATTTTCTTTTTTGCTGTTCGTATTTGTGATTATGCAGAACTTTTTTTAGAGATATGAGAGACCTAATGCTTCCGCCTTAGCGGTGAATTTCATCGGAATTCGACTCGGGCGGAATCGCTTCGGAATGCGTAGCATATGCCAGCAGTCATAATGATAGTGTAATAACGTAATTTTTTATATTCGGTGTTTCTATTATCAGCTAGCAAAAAACGAAAATTTCTAGCGTAGTGCCCGGGCGAATCGGACACAATTGGCAATCACATCAATCGCAGCTCACCACCGCTCGTGAGCAGAACCGCCTACAGCCAAATCCGTTTCTTAGGTTACGTACAGGACCTTCAAATCCTTGAATACTCTTGTATTTGAAAAGTGTGTTTTCAAAGCCTTTGAAAGTCCTGGCACAATTTTCTGGTCCTTGAAAACCCTTCAATTGCTAGAGCAGTGCACTATCGACAATAGGAGATCCTAAACATGGCAGATTGGTGGGTTAGCCTGTCATACTCCTATTGCAGAGCCAGCAATATGGTGCAGGCTAACTTGGTTCAAGTTGGCAGAGCCGTACGAGAAAAAAAAACGTTAGCATGGTGGTAAAAGCAAAAGCAGTAAATGCGACAGCAATAATGTTTCACGAAGAACGGCAAGCAACTTGATACAAGCAGTGCTCAAGCATAAAGGATGCCCAAAAATAGCACACACAGAATGAGCACTAACGAACAACTGTTAATGCTCGACCCTGGCAGCCTGCTCACTAAACACTAAGAAGGACGCTCGGAAAGAATGCGCTAGTATGCACAGGATGAGTGTTGAGTAACAACTATAAAGTCCTTAGTTGTGCACAACTCAACGCTTCAAAACTTTTGGAGGCTGAGCTCCTCAGGGTGTGGGTCATTATCTCCTCTGTAGTAGTGCCAGGCCTCGGAACGTCTCAAGTTCCACCCATCGCCAAACGGGGGGAAGGGGGAGCGACAAATCATCACCTATAGAAAAACGACAGTGGCTCCATTCACATACGCCCTCGCGGACCCCAAAAGATACGCTAAATGTGACATAGTAAGCTGAAAATTGAAAACGAAGAGAGCCACGATTTCTGAAAAAAAAAAACTGCCTATCCACGGGATGAATGATGACGAGTGGATGAAGCTCCGGAGAGAAACATAAGTAAAACCGTGAATCTTACTTGTTTAATTGCCCAGTCGATCGTCGTGTAAAGACATCACGGGAAACATTGTACGTGTAAAAACTGAACTGACGCTCAACATCAAGTTTCTTGTGAAACTTAAAAAATCTTCTATGAAAACATGTCAAATAATAAGTGAGGTTTATAGAGATGAAAGGTCTCATGCATGTGTGTTTGAATGGCGTAAGTGACTTTCAGGGGAAAGTAAGTGTGGAAGATTATAAAGATTCTGTGGGCCCAAGGTCAGCGATTACAGATCCAAACATATCCAATGTTTTCGGGTGATCTGTGGTGACCGGAGATTACGTGTTCATGCAGTAGTTGTTACAGGAAAAGCTGTTCAACGCATTTTAAAAGAGCAGTGCCACCAAATGTTAAACTTCAGATGCGGCGTTCATTCCATTCTATTTCTATTTTGAGCGCAAAGAGCGTCCAAAGGCTCATTGGCGCATTCAAGGCCACGAGATATCGAAAGTATTTTGTAGTGTTCAGCAAGCTCGTAGGCCATGCCTCAGGCACTGAGCGACTTCGAGCGAGCAGCGATGACGTCATGCCTGGCAACGGCTTCACGTGCTTTGTTTTGCTCTGTTCACAGCGCCTTCGCGTTAGTTCTGCGTTTTCGTGATGGCACTTCAGGTGATTTATTATGGAGCTGTGAGCGTCAACTTGGTAATTTCAAGCTACGATCATTGCGAGGTAACAATCACGCAGCGTTCGTATGTCTTACCAGCCAGCTAAGCCCAAACATGCGTTGCCAGCTGCCTCATCACTGCTCGGTCCCGCGTTGTATGCAGAATTACAGCTCAGAAGAGGGCAGAACTGAGAATGATTTGCCATGCCACGATTCCATATTCCTCAATTTTTCTATCGTTGCTAGTGAATGTTGATGATGGAGGTGAGAACAATGGGGGTGGAAAAGGCATGCCCATACATGTTCACGCTGAGCAGAGGAAACGTCAACGGAAACTGGCGCCCACTCATGTCCACCCTCTGATGCCCTCCTATTATTGCCTTTTTTAACCACTAAGATTTGGGTGCTGTCACTGCAGTGCTGCCGTCACACTGAAGAACTCGACCACATGGTACAGCTCTATGCCAATGAGAACTGTCTATGATCTATGAATAAACAAAGCATTATGGTACCTATTAATATGTTAATGGCAAGAGCACAATCAGAAATAGGTGCAATAGCCAGAAGAGCATCACACCCACTTTAATCGCTTGATTTCGCTTGATGTTTTTTATTTGTATTTGTGAACGTTAAATATTGCTGAAAGGAAATCTATCTTTAGCTCAGTTAAGGGATTAAGTCAAAATATAGAATCTCCTGAAGGGCCTCCCAAAAACCTCATCGCAAAACTATCATTAGCCTTAATAGCACTGTATGCAGAAGTGTGTAAATAATGAAGGGGACTACTTTAAAGGTGATAATGTTAAAGAAGACTGTTTTTGCAAGTACGAGAAATTATTGTGCACTCTCATGTTATTCTTTTTTCCAGACTTTGTAGCCTCTTTAAATCATGCATTGAGCATCAAAGGTACTACAATCGAACCCCGCTACAACAAAAGTGACAGGGCACGGAAAAAAATTTCGTTGTAGTAAAATAAAAAAATATAGCAGATCTGAGCTAGCACAACAAAGAAACGTTTATTCTCAATATTTAAAAAATGCCCGCTGCTTCCTATTCTTTCCCAGCAGCGACACGACGTGCTTTTTACCCATGTATAGCGAGGCCATGGTGAAAAGCACGCTGAAACAGCACCTGAAACCACCTTAGTGAACGACCCAAACAGTTGCATTAACACATTAACACCAGCAGCTGTGCGCCATCAAAACTATCCGACAACGCCGAGATAGAGGCAGGGTATCGTGGAGCGGCACCTTTTGCATTATTCTATACAATTCTTATCATCCATCACTCGCAGCTAGCTGATTTTGTTGATAATGCAGACGAACAGCCGCTCTGATTAGTTACCACACTGGCCAAGCATGAACAAAACGATAACCATCGGAATGGGAAAAGGCATCGTTCCGAGGTTGCACCCAGCAGCTGCGTGGAGAAAACCATGAACTGAGCTTCAGCTTCGGATTGTCTGCGGCTCAAAAGCAAACCAGGGGCAAAAGCAGAGCTAGAGTGTACTAGCAGGGCAGTCTCATTACCACCGCTATCGAGCAATGGCGGCGCCCATGCTTGCTGAACAACCCCGGTCCTTGTGGCGCAAACATGTGTTTTAGACTTCGTTGACGCATTTTCAGGCTCTGAATATGCATCGAAATGTTAAAGATTGGGTTTACTGCATAGCAATAAGTATCTGAGCCTCGAATTGCATCGTAAAATTTCGTTGAAGCGGTACGATCGAAGAAAAAGTGTTCGTTGTGGCGACTATATTTATGCCTTGACTCCTATAGGCCGCTGATAGGGAATCGTGAATTTTTCGTTGAAGCGGCGTTCGTTCTAGCGGAGTTTGACTGTACAAAATATTGTCATGATAATAGAATGAAAGTCAAATAAGTCCCAGTTATCAACAAGCCAGTTAAAATAGAGCCGAACCTCTAGGTTCTCTTCTACTATCTGCCAAAATCAAAACTCGGCTAAGCACAAATAGCAAACTGCCTTGCACGACACACAGGGATCCATTGTATGCTCATGTCAGTATGCTATGCTGGCATTTCAAATGACACAAGGTATCCTCTGAGGGTGGGCGGAGTAACATCAAAATATGTAGACACTTGGCTGCCATACATGCAAGTACGGCAGTTTAAGAACAATGTTGCAACTTTGTACATCCGACCCACCCTTTGCCGAGTCATCTTCTGGCCTTTATAAAAATCAACAAAGGCAAAGTCTGCAACGACTCTGCCGAAGCCCCACTAAATGGCCTGCCGCACTGAGCTCATGCGCTTATTGAAGTTAACCTCATGAGGACGCAAAGAAGGACCCCCAAAAGGCTTGTAGAGCAGTGGCCGGAGTGGGTAGGCGGTGTCTCCATATATTACATATGTGCGGCCTTGAGTAACAGTCTCCAAGTTGTGGTAGAGGGCAGTCTCCTTTAGGATACCTGCGGAAAAAAACTGCTTAACAATACTGAACATTATATGGGATAATCAGCCATGGTATCCTGCTAGAGAAACAGTAGACTTAAGCTTGCAAAGAAGAATGAGTGGTTCAACAGTGTTATTAAACTAGTGCACCAAATTTAGTATAGTAAAGAGAACTCGCTGAACT